GTGCCTGTGAGTACTCTTTTCCCGGACCATTATCTTTTCCTGTCTGGTTTTCAGAGTCAGAAGCCAGGCCTAATTCGTCTGGACCACAGCCAGACCTCTAGCCTAGCTCACTGACAACAGTGTAGGTGTCTTGATGAAGCCAGGGTGCCTCATCAGAAGGCCTAGCACACAAGCTACACTCAAGAGCTGGAGAGGCTGAAGGAGAAGCAAGGAAAGAACACCATTTGGGTGGAAGGAATTCTGGGGTATGTAGTTTAAGATAGCCAAGTTAACACTGCAGAAGTGAAGGGAATTCTGGAGAATGTAGTTCAAAATAGCCACGTCACCACTATGAAGACATCTCAGATGGGTTTCATTTGCTTGCTTGCTTGTTTTTTGGGGATGTGTTTGTATATGCATGCACACACACGTATATATACACATTTGGACATGTGTACAAACAGAAGTCAGAGGACTTGGTTTTTTTATTCTTCAGGAACCATCTACATATTTTTGTTTTGTTATACTCTGTGTTGTGATGTGAAAACCTTCCCCTTAACCATATCATATAATATATATATATATATATATGTGTGTGTGTGTGTGTGTGTGTGTGTATGTATACATATGTGTGTGTGTGTATGTATACATATATGTGTGTGTGTGTGTATACATATGTGTGTGTGTGTGTATACATATGTGTGTGTGTGTGTGTGTATATACATATAAATGTGTGTGTGTGTACCTGTGGTTTTACTACTTTTCTGTTGTCATGATAAAACAACACCATGGCCAAGGCAACTTACAGAAGCAAAGGTTTATTTGGGCTTACAGTTCCAGAGGGTTAGATTCCATCACATGACAACTGGGACGCATGGCCCCAGTCAGGCATGGTGACTTGAGCAGCAGGCTGAGAGTTAACATCTTAAACCCCCAACAGGAAACAGAGAGAACAACTTGAAATGATGTGTGGCTTTTGAAATATCAAACCCCTCCAGTCACTTACTCCCCCGGCAAGGCCATACCTCCTTTACTTACCCAAACAGAGCTATCAACTGGGGACAAAGTCTTCACATGCTCAAGAATATGGGACATGTCATTTCAAACCACTACCCTCACCTGCCCAGCTGCCAGTGGTGGCCAGAGGTAGGCTTTGACTATCTGACTCTATTGAGGGTCTCTCAATTATTTCAGCTACACTGGCTGGCCAGGAGCCCCAGGAGCCTCCAGCCTCTGCCTGTTGGGTGCTAGGTTTGCAAACACACCACGGCTACACCCAGATTTTTCACGTGGATTCTAGGAATTGAACTCCTGTCCTCACACTTTCATAGTAAGCACTTCACAAACTGAGCTGTCTTCCAGCCTACGTGTGAGCCACCACACCCAGCTTACAGTTAATCCTGTTTAACCCATCTCCCATCCCTGAGAGCCAGAGCCATCCCTGAAGCGGGCATGGCAGGCGCATGCATACATACCCCACTGACTGCGACATCAAGGCTCTTGTACCTGAGCCTTGACAGTCCCCAGAGCCCACAGTGTCAAGAGCTACCTCTCCCTTTAAACAGATTATCTCCAGCTAATGCGATTTGGCCTTGATTCTTCCAAAGCAAAAGCCTTGACAACTGTACGCAGGAGGTTGGCTGCATGACAAGACCAACTCCATTAACTTTTGGCACAGGTCCCACTCAACATGCCTCATCTCAGCGTAGGGGAGAGGCTGACCACAGGGCAACAGAAAACAAGAAGGTGTCTTATGTCCAGAAGCATTTGGGAAGCTGGTGAGCACAGGAGAGATTTCTGGAAGTTTTCCAAGTTGGAGAATCCATGTGGCTGAGCCTTGAAAGTCCCAAGAGCCCACGGTATCGAGTTACCTTTTCCTTTTGCATTTAATAAACGGTAGTTCCTATCTTTTACACATGCCATACAGACGAACACACACACACACACACACACACACACACACACACACACACGGAAAGGGGGGGAGAAGGAGGGAGGGAGAGAGAGAAAGGTTTCTGCAGATCTGGACACCACACAATGACAGAGAAATAAATGACCTCTCTAAGTCTCTGTTATTTCTGCCTGCAAAGTCCTCACAACATGGCATGGCTAGGATGTCTC